TAATGATGCATATGTAGATAGTTCTGATGTAAGTCTTGCTGGGTACATTTGTACTCACGTTTGCCTATTTTATGTTTTTGCAGAGAGACTTCGGTCTCATTAGTAGTTCCTCGTGGACTTCGACGTTTAGCTTGTTACCTCAGCTACGATCTTGTGCTCTCGGCAGGATCTGGTAGATAGTCAGGCTTCTCAGCCTTTTTCATTTGTGGATGTCTGTACTCAGACATGTTAAGCTTCCGCATGTGCTTTGACTTGTATGCTCTGAATGCTGGGTCGAGAGACCCATGTTTGTAATATCTCGCTCCTCGGAGCCTATTGAATAAAATACTTGAGTTGTAGAGTCATGTTGTGATGCCATGTTGTATTTGCACATATCGAGCATATTGTGTGTATGTTATTGAAATGCTTGGTATGTGTGGGATCTAACTATCTAGTTGTTTATCCTTGGTAGCCTCTCTTACCGGAAAATGTCTCCTAGTGCTTCCACTGAGCCTTGGTAGCTTGCTACTGCTCCGGAACACTTAGGCTGGCCGGCATGTGTCCTTCTTCGTTCTTGTGTCTGTCCCTTCGGGGAAATGTCACGCGGTGTTTACCGGAGTCCTGTTAGCCCGCTACAGCCTGGTTTACCGGAGTCCTGCTGGCCCAGTTGCTACAGCCCGAATTCACTCGCTGATGACCGACACGTTCGTTGCTGGGTCATGTATGCCTGTCCCTGTAAGTTAGTGCCACTTTGGGTTTACGACTAGCCATGTCAGCCCGGGTTCCTTGTCATATGAATGCTAGCGACACTATCATATACGTGAGCCAAAAGGCGCAAACGGTCCCGGGCCTGGTAAGGCGACACCCGTGGGGATATCGTGCGTGAGGCCGCAAAGTGATATGAGGTGTTACATGCTAGATCGGTGTGACATTGGATCGGGGTCCTGGCACTCAATCAAATAAAAAAAGTAAAAGGAGGAACCGTCATATAATTAGACGAGGTAAAAAAGAAGAGTAAGTTTACACCACCCCATGGATGCGACGAGGCATGGGCTGGTCCGACTCGATAGATTGACCATGGCAGAGAATTACTTATTCCCCACCGAGGGTTATTAATAGAGTATATATATATATATATATATATATATATATATATATATATATATATATACTAGCAAAAGAGCCCGTGCGTTGCAACGGGACAAAAAACACAACACACACTCTTAACTCAGCAACCATCACTCAAGACCACAATAGGTCCATGTCCTTTATTTTTGCGAGGCATCATATTTGTGTTGCCGCTTATCCTCCTTCTCACCCTCGCCGGTGATGACCTCAGTGTTCACACAAAACAACAAAAAACGTGTGTTGAATATGGTTAATCCTAAGGCGTCTCTCCCTCCCTCTCTCCCCCTCTCCTCCTCTCTCTCTCTCCCTCTCTCTCTCTCTCTTGCTCGCTTTCTCTCACTCTCGCGATGAGAAATCTGTTGTTTTCCCTTGCGACATTTTTCAGAGGTATGCACGTGTAGTTATTGATGTTTTCTTTTCCGTATATGGTTATAGTGGGGTATTTATTTGCAATCCGAATCGCCGCCGGTATGAAAAAAACAGATCTTGCGCTATAAATTATAAGTTTGCTTCTATAACAATATTTTAAAAATATTTAACAGGTAAAATTAACATCATATTTAGATCCACACATTTTATATATAACATGTTCAAATCGGAGTTACAGTTTTAAAAAATATGAATGATTTTAAAAAGTATTTGTTTGACTTAAATATGATCCGCGGATGAATTACCTAAAATATCAGGGGGGTTTCAAAAAATGTAAAATAACGGTTCGGTTGTGACTTAAAACTGGACGGTGGGTTGATTTCAAAAAAAGACAGGAACTTTTGTGTAAAATACGAAAATAACGCTTCGTTTTAACTTAAAACAGGATTGCGGGTTGAATTCTCTGAAATAGAGTGACTTTTCTAAAAAATGCCATGACGGACGAAAGAAACCCAATTTGCTTTATTATTAGGTAAAGATATAGCAAAAAGGCCCGTGCGTTGCAACGGGAGAAAATAAATACCATACTCTCTTAATTTACAAAAAAAATGTTCTATAATCTGAGAATTTGTAGATATTTCTTAAATACATGATGAGTTAAAAAGGTTGTTAAAAAGATATATGATTTTTTAATCATAAAAAGAGATTTTTTTGTCTATAAAAGAACATTTTTTATTGTCTCATGTCGACGCAGGTACTTGCTCCCTATTTCATCACTATTTCTTGCCATACATATCATAGGTATTGGTCCCTGTTTCATCATTATTTATTTCTTATCAAACTTGTCTTTTATTTTATTTTTTGTCATGCATGCCTCCCTTTTACTTTTTTCATACATGTCCTTTTTTTTCTTCTTCTTATATATAGGAGAATAGCGCAACATCTCATCCTTATCGGATCTCCTCTGCATTTTCTCTTTTATTTATTTTATAGCGGAAATCTCATCTTTACTTGGTCCTTTTATTTCTTGTCAGCCATATCTTTATTTATTGGTGTCTCTAACAAATTTATCTTCAATTTGATGTCCAATCTTGATTTTGCTCAGATGTTCATCCTCAATCTGAATCAGTACCGGTATGAAAAAAAATGGATAATGCATTGTTGATTAACATTGTAGCCTAGATAGTATTTTTTAAATTGTTAACGGGTAAAATAACATCATATTAATATTCTACATATTTTTCTAATCAAATTTCATATATAATATGTAAAATTTGGAGTTACGGTTTAAAAGATATGAGTATTTTAAAAAACTTTTGATATGTACTGTGGGTTTAATGTCGGAAACATCAGGGTTTTTTCTACAAAATAGCATGACGGACTAAGAATACCTATTTCCTTTATTAGAAGTATAGATTTGTTTTTTTAGAGATTTTAAATGGACTACCACTTACGGATATATATAGACATATTTTAGAGTGTAGATTCATTCATTTTGCTCTATATGTGGTCATTTGTTAAAATCTAGAAAGACAAATATTTAGGAATGGAGGGAGTAGTTAAAATCTAAACATCCAAAATTGCCATAAAAGTATATACGGTTCAAGATTATGAGGCTAACTCCACCGCACGACTCCATTTCGTCCGGCCCTGTCTGTTTGGGGTAAAACGGACAAACCCCGCGACCCAGAGCGCGATGGCCTGGACCCATCTCGTCCGTTTTGTGTCCGTCTGACCCTATTTCCAGACCAAATTTGGGCTGAATTTGCGTCCAAAGCGGACAAAACCGGACGTGTTCTGTGCCCTCTCCGTCCGCGCCCGGGGTGACCCCACTTGTCACCCACACACCCACCTCCCACCACTATCTCTCTTCCTTTTTCTCTCTCCCCACCAACTCCGCATGCATGGCTAGTTCTGGAACGCACGACGCCCGCGCGATGGCACTGGCTCCTTGCTGGCTACTGTCGATGGCGAGCTGGCGAGGCTGGGGCGCGGTTCCTCGCAGGCGGGCGCGCGGCGGTGCTCCTCTTTTTCTCTCTCTCCCCTCCCTGTCTCTGCGAGGCGCCAGATGCAGTCTCCCCGCCGGCGGACCAACGAGCACCAACAGCAGCTTGCCGAGCACGCTGGGTGGCCAAGCGCGCGGCGGGCCACGCAGCGGGCGGGGCAAGGCGCGCGTGGGTGCGGGTGAGCTCGCGGCAGGGCGCACAGCGGCCGGGGCAAGGCGCGCGCAGCGGGGCGCGCAGCAGGGCG